GACATTGTTTGGTTGTTACATCCGAACACGCTGCAGACGTTTCAACACATTCTGGATTCTGGAGGACAAAGGTCCGGAGAAACGAAACAAAATGAACGAGCTGAAGGAGAGCTGACGACGTCATGAAGGTGGAGGGGTTTATGCTTAGGGCTCGAGTGGAGTCTGATTCATTTAGCTGTTTTCATTCGTGCACTTTTCATAAAACACTCACCAGAGCCGAGGTGTCACCAGCTCAACACCTAAATAAGGTTTGAAGCTGACCGACTTCAGATGTTTAGATGAATCGTTTAATCTGAACTTTTACCATCTCCAGAAACACAAAGGAGGAAAACTTTTCTTTGACACAGTGTGAACGACTGAAACTGACGTTTACAGCTCAAAGAAGCAAAAGCTACAAGCAGCAGAAGGCTAGCTACGCTAAAAGTGTCAGAATGGAAGCTAAAAGTCACATAAGAAGCTAACAGCTGGTTGAAGCTAGTTTTGAACGTCTGCGCGCAGAACATCTGCAGCAGTTTGTGGTCCGTGGGGTCCGATGAGGCTGGACCGGTCTCAGATGGAGGTCAGTGTGACACAAGAGCCCCAGGCCGGATCCACAATCTGTGTCACGGTTCTGTGAAAACCACGTGGAGGGTTCTACCTGATCTGTGGGGGTCCTTCCTTTTGTTCTTTTTAAAGTCCCCAAAGCTGCGATTAACAAAGAGTTGTTCTTCGTTCTTTGACTCGTTTTTTCTACTGAAGAGCAGAATTATTGGACAGTTTGATGAATTGAGCCAAAAACATGAACAGAAGCTGAAGAAAGTCCTCGAAGACGTGAACCAGAAGCAGAACCTGCTTCTGAACTGAAAACAGCTCCTCAGAACAAGCTCGGATTTATTTTATGTAAACGTACAAACGGGGGTCGAACAGTGACGGCCCTAACCTTTAAGGTGCCATCATTTGACACACAATCTGCCAGATGAACGAGCTGACTGCTGCTTGGAGGTTTACAGAGTCCAGGACCTCCAGAGACCTCCAGAGACCTCCATCTGCTGGACCAGAGTGTCTCCAGTGGGTCCTGCAGAGAAACGGATGCACAGATCAGAAGCCTAAAGTCTTCAAACTCGTTTGATTCCAGGAAGTTGTGTGAAAGTGCCTGTCAGGGAGGAGCTGACACCTGTACCTCCTACAGCTCCTGTATTTCCTGCAGCTTCTGTAGCTCCTGAGCTCCTGAAGCTCCTGTACCTCCTGCAGCTCCTGCAGCTCCTGAATCTCCTGCAGCTTCTGTAGCTCCTGAGCTCCTGCAGCTCCTGAATCTCCTGCAGCTTCTGTAACTCTGCAGGTGGAGAAGACGAGAACAAAGATGTGAAGAAGAAGAAGAAGTTTACTGCAGGAAAACAAAGCCGAGCTGAGCAGCAGTGTGCTGCGGGGGCGGTGACAGATGCTGCGTGTTGGAGAGGAGTCTGAGGAGGACCGAGCCATCTGCTCTTCCAGGGACTTGAGCTCATTTTGAACCACTGTTCCACCGTCAAGACTCTCCGGACCCGGCCTTGATGGTAAATTAATGACTTTCTACAAATACAGACTCAGAGAAGACTCGTGCGGCGGTGATCAGGCTTGTTTAGCTGATTCAGCATCTGCTGAGCTCCAGGGATTGGAAGGTCTGAGGCTGCAGCAGCTGCTGAAAATGGAGGAGAAACCAGGACCAGGAGGATCAGCTGAGGAGAACCAGGTGG